AGTATTGGTATCCAACACATCTTTGACACAGAAATTTCATTTGTTTAGGAGAGACCTTTTTTATGATTAACAGTGTTGATTCCATTCAAAACAACACCATACTACCCAAAAATGTTGGATAGAATGGGACAAAAAATAGCCCAAAGGCAGCAGAGGTTTGTAAGGAAAATATTACAAGTTACTCCTTGGTCTGAATATTCTTCATACAAGATTTTCTTAGGTTATTTGTCTTAGCTAAGAAATCTGCCAAAGAATTTGCAGATCTAAAGGTCCATATAAATGAGTTGTTCAGATTGTAACTTAGAGTCTGCACTTGTCTAGGAGAGTCCATGCAACACCACTCCCATTTGTTTTTGATAATTATGCAACACCACTGCCATTATAATACATGGGGCTGCCTTTGGAGGATAGGATCTATTTACAAATCAATCTAAGAACCAAATGTAAAAGAAGATTCACTTTTTGGAATGTTGGATGGAACCATTATCCAATGTTGGCCCTAGCTATCTGGGTCTTGGGAGGGATGGACTACATATGGACCTAAGCTTTAGCATTTTTATGCACGAAGTGGCAACTCACAACCTGTGGTTTCTTTCACAACTTCTTGTTGTATTGGATAGAACCATTATCCAATGTCCCCAAATCTTTTTTTTTTTTTTTCTCAAGATTGCTGAACCCTGTATCCATGTCAGATTCCAGAGCTTGAATCAATGTCCAAGTAATATAGCTCATCAATTGGGAGAAGGCTTGCTCCCCAAAAGAAGTTGGAATGTTGGACAACTAGGCTTAGAAGGCTTAAGACAAGTCAAGATCCTTTAATTGTTAAAAAAGAAAACCCTTTCTTCAAGCCATTAATATCTAGCCTTTGATCCTTTTTTTGCCCTTAGAAAATTTGCTAATGTTACTGTTGGTATTTTTGCACCAGTCTTCTAAAATGAGAATAATACAGTTCATGGTTACACAATTACACTTTTTGCTTCATAACTAATTTTTTATTCCAAATACTGTTGGTACTTTTGCACTAGTCTTTTGTGAATGATAATCTATAGAACAAATGTAATTTCATAATGGTGATAATATAATACATGACCAAATGTAATACAAGTGTTTCTTCCAATTGTACTTGTTAATATAATACATGACCGCCTGTCTTTCTAGATAATATTTTTAGTAAGTATTCTTGACTTTTTTTTTGTTTTTCTTAAAATAGATAAATCATGATATACTTGTCATGCTGAGACACAAGTGGCTGAAATATGTTTTCTCTAATATAAAATATATAAACCATGAAACAATTGTATTCTTATTAACTTTATTCTCTTATTTTTCTTACAAGTGTTGCTTCCAATTATACTTGTTAATATAATACATGAACACATGTCCTTCTAGATAATAGTTTTATCCTCTCTGCCCGAATTATAAGTATTATGACTATATAACCTTCTATATCTATTATGTTTCTTCCTCCTTATGTCACTGCTTTGGTAGGAATTCTAATATCAATTTATACTTCAAGTCACACTCTTCTTACTTTCACTGTATTGGAATCAGTTCATTCATGAATAGAAAGTTTATTTCTCACACTCTTTTTCTATCATTAGTTCACCTCTTCAGGTATGTTCCTAAACGTTCAAAAGTCATTAACTCTTGAAGATTATCATACTTTTGAATTATGATTACCATATTGCTTCCATTTATTTGCATCATTAATTTACATACTTTTGAATTCTAATCATAAATTCTCTTTTATTCTAGACATAAGTGAATTTCCTGACTACAAAAGTTGCAAAAATAGTAGCTCCTTCCAAAGTGAAGTTCTTAGTGTGTAGATTAACCCTATAGAAGTGTCTGACTTGTGGCAAACTTCAGATCAGGGGTCTGAGTTTGGACAATATGAACTATGCATTATGTTCTGTTTTGGAGACCATAAATCCCCTATTTTTGCATTTCCCC